TAAAAACCAAAAGTCCAATTGCTTTGATATTACATATATAGGTACTACATGTGGACCTTTCTCAGATTTGTTCATATTGTGATGATATCCTCAATTCTCTAATTTTGGTGAATATTTTTGTCATTTTTGGTAAAAAGTGATATATTCACTACGTTCAATTACCCACCATAGACTCCGGTCAGTCAAAATGACTATTTTGAACTGTAGGCATTAATCAGCGATTCTGCCAGTGATGGAGAGATAAAATCTAGGTCAGTGGAAGCCCCATGACCTCGAGATTCTTTTACCCCTTACGTCACGAACCCACGTGACCGAGGCCACATGGCAGCGCCATAGGTAGCCATCCATCACTCTTCATTTTTCTCCGCCTCAACGGGGAATGATTCTGAGCGGCTCTGCCTGGCTCTGTTGCTGTTTCCTGTCCGGGTTTCTCGCGTGGGTCGTTGCCGCAGCCCCGGCATCCGACATTCTAGCTGGTAGGATAAGTCTTTCTTGTCTTTTACCCTCGTGTCGTTTTCCCCTTTGTGTGTTATGCTTTCTACAACAAAGAAATTAAAACCCGGCGCCACTACGTAATCACATGTTGATTTCATGGCGGCACCTTTTACAACTGTAATTCGTTTGCCCTCATGCATGTAGTCTTTTATTTTTAATGTATTTAGTGTACACAGCAATTGCAGGAATGGAACCCGCATACAAAGTGCTATCGTTGTTTCACGTGCGTTCAGGGATTCGGGTGTCTGCCCAGAGAATATTTGTAATCACTGGGGTTCGGAAGCCTGGGAGTCGTTCCAGCAGTATGTCAAGATAGCCGAGACTGACCACGGCGCTCGCTCGTGAAAAGGAATACCAAGAAAAAGGCCCGATAGTGGGGGTGCCGATATATTTCGGTCTCCCCCTGCTGATCGGAGGGCATCTACACAATCTGTTTTTTCAGGCAGTGGGTTACCCAACTTTACCGGCAACAGCGAGGCTGTGCCCCTGGAGGTCTTTCCTCCTATGGGTCCCGCGCTGAGTCCCGTTGTGGACCCATCCTCGCACGGCACCGGTTTTGCCGCTGAAATGAGGGCATTGGTCGAAGGACTGTCAGGGCAAATTGTGTCCCTGGCAGGCTGAGTAGATCACCTGCAGGCGGAGCAAGCTGTCCACTGCCGCCTCTCAGCCAGCAAGTAGGAAGAAACACAGAAAGCACCGTTCGCATTCTAAACACGTCTCTTCCGGGGAATCTCCCGTTCCCAGCCGTGGACCTCCCCGCTGATTCGGGGGAGGCCGAGGCTCAGGCTAGTGGCAACAGGTCTCCTCAGGAACCTCAGACACGTAACACCAACGGGGACGCTGGTAACCAAGACTCCGTTTTTGGGGCAGGGCGTTCGGGACAGGACATACATTGTGCCCCCCTGCTTTCAACCAGCCAGGGTTCACCACGCGGTACCGGTCTGATTAATTTACCTTCAAGTCCGAGCTCCGCTGTGGGTTTCGACTTCCTTCTCGCTGACCCACAGGCGTTCCCAGAGGGAACCGACCCTGTCATGAGACGCACTCTCGAACATGCTCTCGCTCACATATTTAGGGTGAGAGGTGGCGTCGCGTCGGATACAGTGGGTACCTCGGGCGGTCCTTCAAAGTCCACATTGCGTAATGACTCGGTGAGCCGCGCCGTTGGCGTGATGCGGAATATTATCAGTCCAGGTGACGCTATGTATATTCCCCCACCCTTGATCCTAAAGCAGCCGCTTATGGTCGCTTCGACACTGATGGGATCACAGGCGCCGGGATCCAGATTGACCCCATCCGCACGTCTACCCTGGTTCAGCCGAGCGCTGAGCGTGGGGGACGGCACGCAGACGGTAATCTTTTGCATAACTCCTTCCGCTGGACTAAACGCTACCCCATCGAGGTAATCTCGGATTCGGAACCCAAAGAGTTATGACCCATCAATTTCCTTCAATTCGTGTGTGCCACACTGGAGCGCATTCTTGTGCGCGTCCAGGGCTCTGAGACCTCAGACGCAGAACGCACTCGCCTCGTAGACCAGGCGACACAGCTAATGGTAGGCCACCGCACGGGTATGTGCGATATGGGCCTGCGTTCGGCAAGAGATCAGGCTACAGCTTAGTAACCCCAGTAATCTCCCGGGAGGCTCACCTCACGGTAGAGGAGAACCCCCCCTCTTGCAACTGCCGAAACCATGGCCACAGATCCCTGTCGCACACAGATTGCGCCGGTGCTTTCCGGCAAGGAGGCAACGAGGTAACCGATCCCTGGACGCTCCAGGTAGTCGTACGCGGTTACAGAATACCACTGACATCTCTCTGCCCCTGTCAGTGTCCCCCCCGTCGGGGGCACTGCCAGGGTATCCCCACAAGGCGGATGCAATCAGACAGGAAGTAGACAGTTTGCTAAGAAAGGGCGCCATACACAGAATAGTTCAGCCGGCACTAAGTCTGGGCTTCTACTCAAATGTATTCGTAGTACCAAAATCTACAGGCGGCTGGCGTCCGGTTCTGGACCTAAGCAGACTAAACCAGTATGTGCTTCTCGATCGGTTCCGCATGGAGACACCATCCAGTGTCCTACTCTCCATCCATTGTCTCGACTGGCTAGCCTCTTTAGACTTATGCGACGCTTACCTGCACATACCGATGCACCCAGCGAGTTGCCCTCTCCTTCGACTCGCCCATCTGGGCCAAGTATTCGAATTTCGGGTGTTCCCCTTCGGGTTATCCACAGCGCCCTACGTGTTCACCTGAGTGATGAATCGGGTAGTACTGCTGCTCCACCAAATGTCGGTACACATCAATCCGTACCTAGACGACTGGTTGATACACAACCCAGACAAGGGGTTATTAGCCAGAATGTAAGGCTTACACAGAATTTACTTCACCAGTTGGGCTTCCTAGTAAATCACAAAAAATCCC